AAATGTCGAGCGTAGTGTTGGGGGTGATCGGAACGGAATCAAACGCCTCCATCCCGTGAGCTTTGATCAGAGTAGTCGCCATCGAGCAACCGGCGACAACACCGAAGGAAGCGCGCTGGGAAGGGGACACCACCCCGCACAAGGCCATGTATCTAGCCGATCGGTACGCCGACGAGCACACCGACAACACGACAGGATCGACATTAAGCCTGAGGCTCCGCTGCTCGAGCAGCGCTAGGGGAATCTGCTCGTAGTACTTCAGCATATCCCAAAAAAATGCGCCTGCGTGACGGCCTCTAGCCGTGCTGGTCTCAGCTCGCATGGCCTGCCTCCAGACCACGTCTGTCGCCGAGCGGTGCTTCCCAGCAGCCCAGTAGGGCCGATCGTTCTGGGCCTCCCAGGACACCGCGATCGGGCGGCGAGCCCTCCCCCACAGACGGTAGGGGCTCGAGAAAACCCCAATGGGGCGGAAACCAGGGGCCGCCTTCGGGATCAGGGCCACGATGAGGGCCCGAAGTTGACTAGGAAGCACCCCCCCTGACAGCTCCACCAAGGTCCAGAGCTCCGAAAAACAACGAAGGGCATCATCGCCCAGGAACTGGCAGTGCCCCCTGTGGAAGCCGTCCAGACCGACAGCAGACCCACGCGAGAAACTCCGAGAGATCTCTCTGATCGTCTCGACAGGGATGGCAGGGAGCGGATCCTGGGAGCGAAGCCTAATTTTGGGAGCCTGGGAGCTGGCGTGCCAAAGTTTCCCAAACTTGGTCCTTTCCGCGTACAGGAGCTCCGTGGGATCCGCAACTAAGGAACCGAATATACTCAGCGTACTCGTCGGCCTCCAAGCCGCGGGGTCCTTGGAAACCTGGTGGGCTCTTCTGGCTCCCTGATTGATACCCTCAGAAAGCCAGACGGCCCAGTCCTTCCTAGCCCGAGAGATGAACTTAGTGTTGGTCGCCTCGAGGGCCTCCTGGATCTTAGCACCGAGGGCATCCATTTCTCGACCCAGATCCTCCGCGGAGGCCCCGTCCAGCCAGGCCCGAGCGACGCCAGCCACACTGTCGAACAAAACCACCTGGTCACCACGATTGTCCCCGACCAGGGGAGGAGGACTGCACAAAGCCTCGGCCACAGCGCAAGCCTCCTTGCCCGTGTAGGCCGACCTAATGTACCTCGCCAGGCGGTGGAGAGAGGAGTTGAACCATCTCATACCGTGGAGCTCAGGGTAACGGGGGGTCCCCAAGTCCCGTCCCAGGACGGGGCGCCACCAAAGGGCCACCCCCTTTCTCCGAGCCCCAAAGTAAGAAATGCTACAACCCATCACTCTGCAGAGCTCCCGCTCCGCAGCGGTGGCCCAAACCTTGTAGCACGTAGCCAACATCGAATCAAACACATCGGAATCCCCCCTCAAGGCCCGAACTCGAGCCTTGTCCATCAGCGAAAAAACCTTACTGTAGTCCAGAGGTTGGGGCGAAGGACCGAAAGGGGGATCCACAGCAATCGGAGGGGGTTTCCTGAAAGACAACGCATGCAAGTTGGCTAACGCAAAAAACTGAACACGGACAGGGACATGCGGAACAAAACAGGCCCCCGAGTCATTCACCGAGGCCGCCTGAACCGCTTTAGCCAGACCTCCAGAGACCACAAAATAGTCATAGAGTTTAGGCTCCCCCGTCCCGGAGCACGTAGGTCCCGAAGTCGAAACGAGCTGGGCCTTCAAGTTACTGACGAACTCGGTGCTGTGCAACATATCAGGCTCGTTATTGAAGTCGCCTCCCACGATGAAGGGAAGGCCCAGCACCGACAGCTCTGCCCCGAGAGCTCCCAGGACCTCGAGATTGTGGTCGCCCATTCCCACGGAATCTTTCAGGTAGAGGGAGGAGACAAAGATGGACTGACCTCTGGGGGGCTGATCAACAGCCGCGACGGCCCTATGAGGCTAAACAATAGAGCCGCGGCAAAAGGGTTCGATCAGTCCCATCCAGGCTTGAACCAGGATGGCCACCCCAGACGACGGGCCCCCCCCCTCTCCAAGGGTGCAAGGGGCCCAGACCGACTTCCAACCTTGCGAGAAACACCACTGCGAAGCTCGGGAGACTTGATCTCCCGCCAGGAGTTTGTGTTCCTGGATCAAGAGGACGTGGGCCGAGCACTGAGGCAACCATTCCTTTATTGACGACCACGCGTTGCCGTTGATCGTTTCAACCACTAAAGAAAAATCCTCCAGGGGGGGGGGCCCGGGGATCTCAGGATGGCTCGGAGCGACAGCTCTTGCATTGCAGAAAAGTTGCCCCTCACCAGGCCGAGGGGACTGGACGTGCTGCCTGGATTTAGCTTGCCCCGCTCCGGGCAATGGGGACTGCACACAAAGCCTGGATGTGTCCGAACCGCTCTTTAACGGGCAAGTGCCCTCGCTCAAAAGCTTGTCGATCTCTCCCTTAGCCTGCTGAGACTGGACTTCCCTTGGCAGCAGCGAAGCCTTCGGAATCAGACCGTTGGCCATCGGACCTGCTGCCCCGCAAAGGGCGGAGGGATGGCTAGGAGGATGACCGAGCGACAAGTAATGCCCTGCTCCAGGCGACAGGGGACGGGGCACACAAGGCCTGGATTGAACCTCCGCCGAAGAGGAGCGACCCTCCTCCACGGCTCTCGCAGCGCACTGCGATGTCCTGACCCAATTTTCGACAAGTCCAGCGCAATGTAGGGACGAGAGATGGGCCCCCGACCAGGCCTTACTGAGCCCAAAGAGCTCCTTGGAACGTTAAAGCTTGAAACAGTTGGCGGGCGATCCCCCCCACAGCTGGGTACCACATGACACGGCACGACCTCGCGGAGTAGCTGTGTGTGTGTGTGTGTGTGGAGGGGGGGGGTGCCTGTGCGGCCTTGACTCTGGCAGCCTCCGCACGGACCCGTGCGAGCATGGCTTCAGAGTCCCCTGGCACAGGGGGTGTTCCAGGCGACGCAGGTTGCTCCGCAGCCTCGGCGGCAGCGGCAGAAGGATCCCCCACTGCGGCACCCGCTGTTGGGGCGTCACCTTGGCCGTCGAGAGGCCCACCAGGAGCTTCACCAGCAGCGGTGCGGCGGCGCTTCTGTTTCAGCCGCGCGGTCTGGGCAGCGTGAGCCTCCTTGGCCTCCTTGGCGTTGTTGGCCGCCTGGGAGAACAGCTCCTTCGCCATGGTGTGGAACTGCGAGACCAGCGTGTCGCGTCGCTTCTTGATCTCGCCCATTTCCTCAGCACTGATGTCATCGTCGCCCACACTGAAGACTGAACCAAGCTCAACGCTGAAACCCTCAATCCGTCCAGCCATCAAGTCCTCCAAGTGGATAGTGGGGACAGTGTGCTCGACGGTGTCTGGCTTCGCGGATGACGCGACGACCTTGGCCGTCTCCTCATAGCTCCTGTCCAACTGGCCCAGCTCGCACGCCATAGAACGCACCAGATCCCGTTGGGCTGCCAACTGCATCTCCAGCGTGGCGATCCTCTTGAGCTCCTTCTCCATCCTATTCCCGTGCTTGACCCGCTCGCGCTGGATGCGTGCCAGGTGCTCCTCAGGACCAGGCTTGGGAGCAGAAGGAGCGCGGCGAGCAGCGAGCTGGGCCCGAGCCTTGCCAGCAGCCTCGGTCCAGCCCAGCTTCTCGGCCATCTTGACGAACGACTCGAGCTCCTCCACCGACAGCTCCGCGAGCTTGGGGTCCTGCTGAGCAGCGCCGCCTTGTAGTCCTGGAGACTTGGCGCCACCCTTGAAGAGCATGGCCGAGCCCCCATTCCACGCGGAGCCTGATGGAGCGTTCCGAAGAGCTCCACAGTGCTTGCAGAAGAAATACGACGGCTTGTTCTTGCGGCACCCACAAGAGCCACACGACCACTTGCCGCCAGGATGAGGCCCAGCACCATCGCCGCGAGGAGCTTGAGGGCCAGGCCGAAGGACTGGCCACTCCTCTGCCTCGCGCCACGGTGGAACGGGACCGCCGCCTTTGCCGCCATACGAGCCCCAGTTCGCGTGCCATGGGCGCCACGAAACCTTGGACTTGCCACCAGCGCCTTTGCCAGCCATTGCAGACGTGCCGTGGTGGCAACTGCTCCGATGGGGCGCGAAACCGATGGTTGAGACCCCTCCAACTGCGGAAAGATGAAGCCAAAACGGCCCGCAACAGCAGTGCGTCGGCACACGCTACGCACCGAATATGTGCGATTTTGCAAGCCTTGCCATGGGGGGGGGGGGGGGGGGGGGCAGCGGCCATGAAGATTGCTCTCCTCGGCGAACCCACAGTAGCTACCGCCAGGATACCAGCGCTACAATGGTCACGGATGATCTGGTCAGCGGCATCTCAGCCACCGCGTGCCCCAGTTCCCCTGGCACAACTTACTACGCGGAGGCGCCGAGCCGTCGAAGAGCCAGGACTACGCGGCACTCGGGGGGCAAACACGAGGCCCCCCGCAGGGAGCGGCTCGTCTATTGCAAGAGCGGGTTGGAGCCCAGTCTCTGACACCATGTGGCGCAACCACCGTGGCGATGATGTTCATGTGGATCAACTTACAGCAGGGCGGATTTTCATGATTCTACAGGAAGGCGTTCAATGCCAGCACGAGAAGACCTTGGTCAGCAAGATGGGCCTAGGTGAGGGCATGCGAATGGCCTCCGACATCCTCAAGCCCGTCGTTCCCCCCAAGAGCAAGAGGTACACGGCCCGCCAGAAGTTCTGCATCATGAATGTGGCGTGCAACGGAACGCGGACGCAGCTCCGCGCTCACCCAGCGGGGTGCCGCACGGATGGGCCATGCCGATGTGGAGCGCAAGACACCCTCCTGCATCGTCTACTCGAACGCACGCGACCTGACGCACTGCAAGCCCGAGAGGATGATGAGGCCCCCACTCATTTAATGGACCTACTTCGCAAGCCTGGATATGATCCTGGTTTCATTCAACGGATTTTTGCCGATCAGTCCTCCTCGACCCCACCATTGGATCCAGGGCTGAATTGCGCCATCCTGGATAGCCAAGGCATAGACTGCTACGCCGCGCCAGAGTCAATGGCGCGGGGCTACCTGCGCGACGATGATGACAGCATGGAAGTTGCGATTGATGGGTCCTGCACCAAGCCGCCAGCTAAGGAGTTCCAACGTGCAGCATGGAGCACTGCCCTCCTCGACCCGCGGTCAAGCACCCCGCTCTGTTCGACCCATGCGCCTGTCCCAGCATCTCTGCCGCAGTCCTCGGCCACGGGGGAGCACCTCGGCGCGGCCTTTGTGTCCCAGATCGCCGACCGCCCCTGCCAAGCCCACGCCGACTTCATTGGACTCATCAAGCTGGGCAACAAGGGGAAGGGGCAACAGCTTGCCAGCAAGACGCCCTACGCGCGCGTAGCCCGCTTCGCGCAGTCGCTCGAGGGCTTCCAGCACATCCAGCAGTACCACCATGTAAAGGCGCACAGATCTGGCACCGAGTACGAGGCAATGGACTACGGGCAGCGTCGTCTCACTGATGCCAAAGCAATTGCTGATGTGAGGGCTAAGACGACGACATCCGTGCACCCAAGGCTTGATGATGATGATACGATCGAAGCCAAGGAGACAACTGTCGGCAGGGTAGGCGAAGTAGCACGGCTCGCGGCGAACGCAACGCCGATCTTCGACAAGGACGACCAGCTCAGATGGACGAGGCGAACCCCAGCCCATCGGCGCGCGGCCAGCACGCGGAAGGCTACCTGGCACCAATGGCAAGATGGTGAGCTCGGGGTACAATGCCGAGTTTGCCTACAACTACATGTCCCAGGAGCCCCACTCCCGCTGACGGGGTGCGGCGGTACCCCGAGCTCCCTCAGGGATTCCCAGATCAACCCGCTAGGTCACAAGCTAGTGGCGGTCAACCAGTGCGGAACACTGATAGGAGACAGCATCGAGAGCGTCAAGACCGTCTTTGTTTGCGTGAGGTGCGGAGCCCAGGCGCAGCAACGACGTCGACTCAAACTGCCATTTCCCTGCGTAGCGGCCACAATCAAGGGCTTGGAGGTCTTGCAGAATCTGCAGAAAAGAGTGGGACCGCACAAGACATTGCAGAAGTTCATCGACTCCACCACCCCATTGAAGAGAGTCAGGACCGATACGATCACCAGCTGCACCTACACGAAGGTTGACATTCTCAAGGATTGCGACATGGTGCAGGAGGAGAACCACACGTTCGAGCACAGGATGGCAGCTCTACACCACCGGGTTCGTGCGACAGAGAGTCAACTGCGAGCTGCACGGGAAGAAAGCAACACCATGCTCGGACACGCGCTGAGAAGAGGAGATCTGCCTGAATTGCAACAGGGTCCTGCAGGGCAAGGTTGCAGGCATGCTCGCGTGGGAAATGCTGCCCACCAGCGAGAGGAGATAGCGCCGAGCGAAAGCAGTGAGGATCTCCCAGAGGTGCAGCCCATGGGCAGCCAGAGCGACGACAACGGGACCCAGCGGGACTCCCTGGGCAACCACTCCCTCGACAGGGCACCTCCCAGCCAAGGACGGACGCCGACTGACGAAGGCGGGCTGGCGGATGCTGCCCTTAATGATGCCCCTTCCCCAAGGGGCACGCCCTCGGAGGTTGCGGATCCCGTTCCCGCTGGCTGGGGGTGCCAACGCGACCACTTACCTGGGCAAGGCGCGCTTCTGGCCGAAGGGGCTGGAGGGCGCGGGGGGACGCAGGAGATTCAGCCTCCGCTCCCCCCACCGCAGACGCAAGTAGAGGCAATGTTGCAGCCTCTGCGCGGGTCGGACGCCAACCAACGGCCAGACGATGTTCCTGCTGAGAGTCCTGGTGGAGCTCTGCGACTCGATGGCGGAGAGGGAGTTCCAGTTGGCTTGAAGCGAAGGCCCTGCGGCCTCAGACTTTCTTCCAACGTGAGGAGAGGTTCGCGGAGAGTCAGAACCAGCGACGTGGAGGACGCTAGGTAATTACCTGAGAACCCTACGAGGATCTCGAGGACGCGGAGATGAAGGAGCTGGCGCCCTGCAGTCTGCACAGGAGGGGCTCGGGGAGGCACGCCAGAGCGGGCCCCGAGTTCGGGCGGAGCCAGGCAGCTCGCGGCCAGAGCAGCGGCAGCGGCAGGGAGAGGAGCGCTGCGGCGAAGATGGAGCTAACGCCCTGCCGATCACTCAGGAGGGGCTCGGGGAGGCACGCCAGAGCGGGCCCCGAGTTCGGGCGGAGCCAGGCAGCTCGCGGCCCGAGCGGCAGGGCCAGGAGCACAGTGGCGTCAACGCGGCGGACACGTGCTCAAGAGGGGCCTCCAGCAGCGGGCCCATGCGGGCGGGGGGCACAAGTGGTGTTTCCTGGCGACATAAACAGGAAGAGCCACCCCGCTCCCCAACAGCGGCCGCGCAGGAGGCAAGAGGCCCCAGGCGCCCAGATGGGCACTCGCTCGAGGAGAACTCCAGGGGGATGGAGTTCAAGAGGCTCGTGGTCCTGGCGACGGGGACCTCGAGGGCGAGGCGTTCGACGTCGTGAGGCCCCTCGGCGAGGCCGTGCCCCTCCACTGGGGAGGGAGCTGGGCGGGCGCCCGACCTTCGACCGCCGAAGCCCGCGCTATCCTCCTCTTCCTCCCCCTCCTCCTCCTCCCTCCTCCTCCTCCTCCTCCTCCTCCTCCTCCTCTTCCTCCTCCTCCTCCTCCTCCTCCTCCTCCTCTCCTCCTTCCCCGCCTCCTCCTCCTCCTCCTCCTCCTCCTCCTCCTCCTCCTCCTCCTCCTCCTCCTCCCCCTCCTCCTCATCATCATTTTCCTCCTCCTCCTCCTCCTCCTCCTCCTCCTCCAAGGGCGGCGGCGGGAATAAAACTTGTTGGTTCTGCGGCGAGTTTGGCCCAGCGAGCGGCCGGGCCAACGGCGGGGCGCATCCCTTGCGAAGTGAGGCGCAGGGACAAATTATGGCTCATGCCACCGAGGCTCGAATCTAGAAGTCACTCTTTGACATGGGCTAGAGCCAAGCATAAAAAAAGTTGCGCATCCACAGTTTGAGAGCTCTTTGGCTTCATCATATTATCAAAAACGAAACATGTTCTTCGTCGGCGGCGAGGGAGAGACGGTCCGATCCAGCGTGTGGCGACGGGGCAACCGAGTGGCAAATTGGCCTGCGTGCAAGAAGAGGGGCAAGCAGACAGACAGGGCGGCCGCGGAGGAGGGGGAGGCGGAGGGCACTCAGACGTGGAATAATTCCACACAGAGCGCGCCGGCGCGGCCAGCAGCGGCAGCGGGGGCCGTGGCAGCGGCCGGGCCGCGGCGTCGGTGCACCCACGGGCGCTGCCGATGCTCAGCACGAGGTAGAGCAACTCGTAGACAGTGCAGGCATCCAGGGCGGAGACGACACATACAGCAGGAGCTCGACCACAAGAAACCTTCCACGAGAAACCCAACCCTGACACCCCAGGACGACCAGGTGGTGACCTCGGCAGCCCCAGCGGCTTCACAGCGCCGGCCCGCCACCGCACGGCTCTTGGGGACCCTCGAGGCCCCGGTCGCCCGAGGCACCGTCACAGAACGACCCGAGTCCCAAAACCGCGCGATGACCCCGAATCTCCACTCGCTCACGTGAATTTCTTCCTCGGCGTTTCGATATTGGGCGGAAGGGGGGGGGAGGGGGGGGTCTGGCTCCGAACCTCTGCTCAATGCGACTGTTTGCAACAGTGGGAGACTCCGCCTGCTCGAAACAGGCGCCAAAAATAGCCAATATCTACTCTATTGGGGGAGGGAGGGGGGGGGCGCGAGGGCCCGCGCCGATCGGCAAAACAAGGAATGAGAAAACGACTCCCGCACCAGATCTCCGACGAATGTTTGGCTTCTGGGCCACAACTCGGGTGTCTGGTGGCCATTCGGGACGATCTGGGTACCTCTGGAACGCTTTCGGCGATGCACAGCTGCTAGAGCGCATCCCGAGGCTAGGAAAAACGCCAAGAGCCGACGAAGACGTCCGAACACTTCGACCCTCGAAAACCTCCGAATGTCCGAACACGCCACCACACCGTTTGGGGGCCCACAAGGAATGCCCATGACGACTCGTTGCGTGTGCTGGCAGCCATCGGGCGCGGCCTGACCGACCCCTAGCAGACCATCCCCTTCCGTGAAGTCATCCTCGCCTTTCGCGCTCCCCTCCGGCCGCATACATACATCTTTGCTTCCTTGTCTTGTTCTTGCCGTAGCATGCCGGATGATCCCGGGCCAAGCCAGAAAGCAAGAGCCGACCATGCTCAACGAGACCAATCGGTCCGACTGGCTTTTTGTTTACGAAGGATTGCAATCCTCCCTTGAACGAAGGATTGCAAAAAAACAAAGGATTGCGAGAGTCTTTTGTTTGCAATCCTTCGTTGCAATCCTCCCTCTGGCCTGCGAGCCGCAGCCCCCGACCCAGAACTAGAGGAAGAAAACAAACCTGCGACGGCCGCTCCCGGCCGCCTTCGCGCTGCCAGGGGCGGCGGGCGCGGGTCAGGCCCAGGGCGAGACGAGGAGGGCGTCACAGAAAGGGATGGCTTGCTAGGGTCAGGTCGGGCATGCCCTTCTGCAGGCGGACTCCTGAAGAAAGACCAGAACACTGCATGTCTGAAGACTTCTTCTGCAGAGGGACGTGCCCGAGTTAAGGCTGGGGGTCGGCTGGGCCGCCCCAGAAGCCAGGCTCCTCCACGCCGAGGGTCTGCAGCAGCGTGTCGAAGCAGGGGCGCGCGGGCTTCGAGGCTTTGGCCGCTGGCGGGCGGGCCACGGCCGGGCAGGCTCGGGGAGGGACCCTCTGCGTTGCTCACCTGTCCTCCCTCCCTGCCTCCCTCCCTCCCTCCTTCTCTTCGTCCTCCTCCAGCCTCCCCCGCCTCCTCCTTCGCCGCCTCCTCCTCCTCCTTCTTCTGTTTATGTTTGTTACTATGCTTAGTATCCAAATAGGCCTGCCGTATAGGAGTTCTAACTCATTCTCTATTAATTGGTCCGTTGCCCCCCTAATTCCTATGCACCCTAATTCCTATGATTATGCCTATGCTTATGCCGATGTCTCCCCCCTAACGCCTATGCCTACGCATATAGCTGTGCCTATGCCTATGCCTATGCCAATGCCTATGCCTATGCCTATGCCTATGCCTATGCCTATGCACCACCTCTAAGCGCTCCTATGCATATGCCTATGCCTATGCCTATGCCTATGCCTATGCCTATGCCTATGCCTATGCCTATGCCTATGCCTATGCCTATGCCTATGCCTATGCCTATGCCTATGCCTATGCCTATGCCTATGCCTATGCCTATGCCTATGCCTATGCACCACCTCTGGGTACCCCCTTTTTCAAATGCCCCCCCGCCCTTATTTCCAATGGCACCCTCCTCCCCCCCCCCTTTTCCAATGCCCCCCCTTATGTATGCTTGCTTGCTTGCTTGCTTGCGCGCGTGCTTGCTTGCTTGCTTCCTTGCTCGCTTGCCTGCGCGCTTGCACGCTCGCTTGCTTGCTTGCTTGCGCGCTTGCTTGCACGCTCGATTGCTTGCTGAGTTGCGGATCCAAAGCATGTTCGATTCCTCTGATTCCTTGACTTGACGATTTGGAGTCAACGCTGGCTGATACGATTATCGTCGTGATTAGTATTATTATTACTACTGGTATTCCTACGATTCTTATGTGTGATAAGTGTTATCAATAGCGTTAGTATGGTTATGATTCTTAATACGTGTCTTAGTATGAATAGGATTCGTCTTATTCCTTTGGTTATTCTAAGTAATAGGAACTTTCTTTGCACTAAGATTACTATTGTTTTCTTACGACTATTAAACGTATTAGCACTCGTACTCGTGTTATGATTCATTAGCGTAATCTTCGTATAGATATTATTACCAATTGCGGCGTCCAAAATCCAGATAGCGATGCAGTCCAGAATCGCAAATGCGCTTGTCAGGTCCCTGGCGAAGGCACCAGAAAGCTTCTCTGGGGAGCTTGCAAGCTTGGAGAAACTCTGTGGGAGACGCTTGCCAGGGCGCTGGAAAGCATGCCTGGGGAGCCTGCAAGCTTCAAGAAGCGAGCTCCCAAGGAGATTCGAAGGAGCTTCGAAGGACCTTCTGGAGAGCTTCGGGGCACGCGTATTGGGAACGAACTGGAAACCGCTGGCCGGAACACGCTGCAACCTCAAGCAAGTCGCTGCGGGGATGCCTGCCCGGGAGCCTTGGAGAGGAGCTGGCGTAGCCCTGCCTGCCGGCTTCTAAATCTGAAACCCTCTTAGCTCTCCAAGGAGTTATCCGGGAATTATTGTTGTTATCATGATCCGTATCCTTACCATTAGTTTAACTATTGTTATTGTCATCTTGAATCATACCATACGTATCAGTTTCATTATTAGTGTTACGATTATACGATCGACTCTTCTAATTATTATTCGTTGTCGTGTTCCTTCTG